ACAGAAAAAAATAGATTTTAATCAAGTCAACTAGCTTCTTGACAGAATCAATCACAACATAATTAAATTCTTTACTTAAAATTGTTGCTGTAATCTCTATAGGGAAACAAGTTGCATTTTTTTTTTCAGTGATTTAGCTATTATTCCATCTTCAATCGTGCGATCGTGCTATGGACGCTCTACATTCATTAACAGGTGCTGTTCTGTTGCCAATAACACCAATCAGATCCTTGTGTTATAAACTATTCTGATGATGATTAATTGAAAATGTTGTGTATAAAAGTCGCTGACAAATCGCATCGCTAATAAAACGCAGACGCTGTTTATTGCTATGTTTTTTCAGTGTTTTTTCCACGCGTTTCGCACAAAAGACACAGGTGCTCGAACTTTCAAGGACTTTTTGGTTCCGCTTCAGGAGACTTGGTTGGTTCGCAGTGATTGCCAAATTTCGTTATATCTGTTTTGCTCGTTTTGCTGTAACGCACTGAATTTGAATAATAATGTGATATTGCAGATCCGTTACTTTTTCCCATATCTTTAAACATTATTAATTCTCAAAGCACTACGTAAAATACTTTTACAGAGTAGGTGCCGTAGGTTTATTTATATCGATATCTGGAGATAAGTCTCGGCGTCTACTTCCACGGTTCGTCTCGTTTGATTTATACATGTTTTGCACTTTATTTATGCGACTATCGTGCTCTGACTGACACTTGGTTTTTTGTCTACAATCCCCCATTAACATGAGAAGAAGTGTATGTATGTGAGAGGAAATTTTTGAAACAGACTATACGTATTAGACGTGTAAAAAATTAGCTATCTTTGACAAGTCTGACTAAGTATTTAAACATAAATCATAAATGTTTAGTTTCCGTCTTGTGGGAGTCTTCCTCCTGGACGCGAATTTACCTTGGTCGATCTGGGAGTCTTTAAATAGGCTTGTGACTCAAGTTAATCGGAGAAAGGACAATTTGTTCAGTGGGGATTTTCGGATAGTTCCAATCAGGATTGTTAGTGGTACAATTCTAACGGTCCGGTCTCATGGTCCATTTCGTATCGTGCTCTGCGTGCCCTACCACCTGCACATTTGAGGATATAACGGTGGCTACTAGCGACGCGATCGGAGTAGCCGAGTTCTGGGCCAAAATAATATAGTGTATGCCATTGATACAATAAGGAGAAAAATTTCCATACGGAACAGAAATGCAATCCTTACGTTTTTACTATGTTCTTTTGGCATAAAGATTTGACTTAACACCTCTTACTTACCTTTCAAAACCGGATCGCAGTAGGCAATGTTGGTATCACTGCTTGGTGGCAGAAATTGTGAAGTGGCAGTTCTTCCCTAGACATACTTTTTCACAAGGAGCTTTGCTGCGACAAATAATCCTGAAGAAACATGACTGCATGACGAAGACGGTCAATGACCCTTGAAAGCGTTTATGGTCTACACACTCTCTTTAGAAGAGACCAATGCCCGGTAGTGGCACGTATAACAGGTTAATAATGAAAAAACCTATGAAGTAAATAAAAGAGCTTAGAAAGACGTAGACCAAGTCCTTGATATACGTAGCCACATATTATTGTCTTCCGCCAGCATATGACGTCGAAATTAGTAGATTCAATTTGTCAATAGTTTTTGCGCCATCATAATTGCCTGTTTCGTACATTTGTTTGTTTTTTATATTTTTAATAAGAATGTTTTGTCTAATGAGCGTATGTATATTTGTAATTTTAACACTGTACTATGAATTTACCTTTACTGACAAATGTGGGCAATTTTTTATTACACTTTTTATATGTATATATATATATATTATTACTTATTAAAATTTTTATATATAATTTTATAGCGTCTGTAACTTTCTAAGTTACGTACAATGTTTATTGGCAGTATCTCTTGCGGTAAAGGAAAACATTTTATGAAGACGGTTCATTACACTTGGAAAACGTGTGCCACATTGCGGCAGCGAAAAAAGAAAGTAAAAAAAGGAATTCTTAATACAAGAATCGAACAAAAAAGAATAATTCCTTCGACTTGACAGGACCAGTACCTGCGGCCACGCTATACGTAGCGTCGCTCTACCAACAGAGCTACAGGTTGAGTCAGCAAGTCGACGAAAGCGTTAGTGAAACGCGCGATTGCATCGATGCAAACGCGCGACTTCATCGATACAAATGTGCGACTGCAAGGACTGCAAGATGCAGTCGCATGTACGAAAAATCTGTATAGGTTTATGCTTATTGTTTTGTTAATAGTAAATTTAAAAAGTGACACAAATAAATAAATAAGTTAATTAATTAATTTAAAACAATAATAGTAATAATAAAATTGTTTATTTGAATAACGTATTGTACAAATGAATAACTAAAGACTAATTATGCGAATAAATGTAAAATATAACACATATACCTGAACTAGGAGAATCCTGTATTTCAGGTAAAAAATACTAATTATACTATGAATATATGATGATTAAATTATAAACAAAAAAATTATTGAAACATAAACAGAACAATTATAATAATTAAACAATGTAATGCAAATCATAACCTATTACGCTTAAATTAGACAATATTTATTTTGGGATAGTTAATAAATTCTCTGTATCATCGTAGGACATATTTTGAAGGAATTCTTGGAGAATTTTCTTAACCTTTATGTAACAAAAATGATATATGGCCAGTTTGGCATTTAATTTATTCTACAAAATTGGACCAAGAAACACGAAAAATCTTGAAATAAACACATGTTTTGATGATACAATTTTGGGGCAGACAATATCTTTCCGTCTTTTGTTAGTGTTTTCAGTACTATATATGCAATGTGCTGTTTGAGAACTGTGGACTTAATAAATAATTACCTTACAGTTAGTTAAAATTTTAAAAACTTAATATTAAAAACGTGTATCACGTTTCGCGTTTAAAATCACTGCAAACGCGCTGCTACAATTCGCCGGGTGTAACCGCTCTTAGAGATTTACGAACCTTCACACTCAAAAAGGTGGTAAAACATCGTGAAATTCAATAGAATTAAACATGCTTTATATATTACCGACCGATTTTGTTCATGATTCGTAACGCAACGAAAATCAACAAGAAAGAAATCCCATAAGATATTAATGACGAAAATATTTTAATTAAATATCCATTGTTACTAAATTGGAATCTTGAGTTGATTGTACTATCTGTAATGAGTCCGTCATGGTACAATGGTTTTTGCCGCGACTATTTATTGGCTACCGTCGATGAAGTTAGATATCATTACATTTGAAATTTACTCGATGTCGAAGCGATGTCTACTTTTTTATTAATATTAAAGTTTGATGTTCAGGGACGCCTATAAACTTCATGTAATTACTTAGAGCTAAGCAACGTCGACGACCTTATTCTCTACTTTTGAATATTATGGTTTTGTCATCAAAGCACTTTTAACTGTGGAAGTAGATTTTTACTTATTTCCTTTCTAACACACGCTAGTTGGCTACGCCTTGTTTTAAAAGGAAGCATTCAAAAGTAAGCTCTCTCTCTTGTTCTTTAAAATACAAAGTGTAGCGGTACATGCGGGCAGCGCGGTGACAGCGCACCGTGTTTTGTTTTTTCTACATATTTTACAAAGTGTACTCACTGTACGGAGTTATTGTTAAAGTACATTATTCAATGTTTCATTTGGAAACAAGGCATTATGGAGCAGGGTAGTAGCAATGTGAATGAACGACAACTTAATGCTCCCACATGGGGGACAATTTGTCGGCGACTGTTTATATTTATGTCGGTAACGTAGAGCGATTATCACAAGGCGCCTTCAAATTAGAATCTTATAGGAGTGCTGCAGTGGCGTGTCTCTGTTACCTCACTATTAATTTTCATACAGTATCTGGAAGGACAGCTGCAGCGCCACTGTCGCAGTAACAACGCGTGTCTTGTGTTGGATACAAGCAACCGGCAATTACAAGCGAATATTATATTTTCATACAAATTGCGATTGCGGCAACCGGCGACAGTGTCCAACTGCTGCAACTGGCGACTGCGTCGATTTCATATCAATATACGTTTACGCGCCTTAGTGAAGTAAGACGTAACACGCGGCTGCCGCGCGTCATTTGCGCCACTGCAACGCATCTATAAGGGTCTAATTTGACGGCACCCTTAAGAGTCTATACTACCTCAGCTCGGATTGAATTTTTTCGCGTATTACTACGGTTCTTTTTGCTCAGGACAAGCGGCAGGGAGCCTGGCTTTATTTCAGAATTTGTTTTTTACAAATGAATTTAAAGCCATTTCACAATTCCGCGGTAATTTTGTGGTTTTTTTTTTCTATCGTGAAAATCTTGTTTTCGTACACCGTATAGTAATCAGTGTATCCTCAATTTTACTAAAGCTATTTGAGGTAGTATAGACTCTTAATTATATTATTTGCTGACAAATATATGTACCATAGCCATGAAAAGTAATATGTTGGCTCGCCAATTTGCACAATATTCAGACTACGTAAAAATAAATCTTCGGTACTTACTATCGTTCTACACTATCCAACTGTGGTATCAGTATACTTAGCAAGCTTTTGACAGACTCAGAGTGCAATATTATAATAAAATAATGGGTTGGTGTTACACTGCGCCTTCACTGGCTGTGTAGTGCGTCTGGCATGTTTGCTGTGAATAGAGAAGATTGCGTTTTCGCCATAATGTTTAAAGGACATTGAACTTTGTTACGAGAGTGAACGATACGGCCAATAGTATTGGCTGATTTGCTTTTTAATTTATTAGTAAGGACAGTACGCACTCACTAAAGTTAGTTTCACATAAAACAAATTATTCATATTTTTGTGTCCAATTTATAAATATAATGAATTTTATTTGCTATGGTAAATTATTTACCTAAATGTACATTTTACTTTTTATTTATTGAATACACGTATTATGTTACTCACTGTCTTATTGTACTGAGTACATTTTCTAAATTTTTTGATACTGAACATTATTTTCTTGTTGTTCCAGGAAAATATTGACCCATCTCCCTACAGTCTTTCTCCAGTCTCAGCAAAATCTCAGAAGCTCCTTCGCTCGCCTCGCAAAGCGACCCGCAAGATCTCGCGGATCCCATTCAAGGTTCTGGACGCCCCGGAGTTGCAGGACGACTTCTACCTGAACCTTGTTGACTGGTCTGCACAGAACGTCCTCAGTGTCGGTTTGGGAAGCTGCGTTTACCTCTGGAGTGCTTGCACTAGTCAGGTAAGAAGACTAAGTAAGATTCCATTTAATTAATTCATTGTAAACTTTCGGCGAAACTTTCGGTGTAGAAGGCTCTAAAGCTATTTTGATCTTACTTCTAAATCTATACCTAGGCAGGATTTTGCACCAACAGTGAGTCTCATATTGGATTACTTTACGTACTAACTTCGTATTTACGTTCTAAGGGTGTTTTTAGATTAATATTTTTATTTATTTATTCAGGTAAAAAACAGTCGTATAGATGTACAACCAATGTCTAAGAACAGTGTATATAATTAGTCCTATGGTATTCATATATTGAACCATAATGATATGGGTAATTTTTAGCTTAGTTTTCTCTACCTAATTTTGATGGCAATTTTTATTATTTAAGTATTCCAGTACATTATCGTGAAATATTAAATAGTATTTTACACTCGAATATTAGATAACTTAATGATAGTATTCTAGAATATTTAAATAATAAAATTTGCCACTGTAATGAGGTAGAGAAAAAAACTCGTATATATGACATGAATTGTTGTGCAATACGTGACGGATACACAATAATATCTACAAAACAATACTAATGTTTACATCATATAGACACTTGTCATAAAAACTACAAAAAACTTTTAAACGTAAACAAAATGTCATTATCTAAAAGTATTGTAAGAAAATAATACCTAAAAAATCTGATCAGCCTTGCAATTGAGTTGATAGTATCAAATAGAAAAGAATGAAATTTTAACATTAGCAATGGTTAAATTATAAAGACGCTTTGTCTTTTTTACATTACCCGCATATAACGCAGTATCGTTCGTCACCAATGACGCCATATTCACGTGATTACTCACCATGATGACAGACACTATCACGTACTACGCATACCCCTTTACTTTTTAACTAAAATCTACTCATTTTGAGTAAAATCGTCACACGTGTTTTGAAATGTAAAAAAAAAATTGTAAATTATGCTCTCCTCTGTTTTGCAAACATCCATCACTGACGATGACCAACTCCCAACAAGTAGCTGGTCTGCTCGTTTGCCTCCTACTTTATATAAAAAATATGTGTCAAAACTAGACGTTTGTAAACCAGATATAAGTCAAAGTAAATAACATTTTTATTTTAGTAAAACTAGTATAAATATGCTCGTATTTGTAATACGATCGTTATTGTGGCTCGATATGGTGTGTTTGTTGATAACAGAAATAGTTGCTTACAGATTTGCTCGATTTTTGACGTTTATTGGTGTCGCTAAATCGAACAAATTTGCAGGCACCTATATCTAATTTAATTCCACGGTGTAGATCGACAAAAAGTGCGGTTCCGATCGTCTGTTGCCTACACATTTACTTGATTTGGTCTGATAGTACGTGTCGATGTACAAATAATACGTTATCGATCGATTGTTTCTTACATATAAGCTCGATTTTATCTGATCACACGTGTTGATCGACAATAAACATATTTGTTTCTCTTCTTACACATTTACTTGTTTTATTTGATCACACGTTGTCGATTGTCATAAAATCGAACAAGTCTGTAGACATCTTGTCACTGTTTTCTAAACGCATGTTGATTTTCCTCACAGGTGACCCGTCTCTGCGACCTATCATCAGAAGGCAACGCAGTGACATCCGTCGCGTGGAGCGAACGCGGCCACCTCGTGGCTGTCGGCACGCAGAAAGGACACATTAGCGTTTGGGACGTTGCTGTTAACAAAGAGGTATAACAATCTTTTGTTGACCATTTAGTACAATACAAATCGCATCTTTAGGATGAAAATGACTTCATTAAAAAATTAACAAAGAAAAACACACAGAAAATCCTTTCAATCTGACCGCACTCGAATCAGTATCTATGCCTAACATGAGCTACCTCTCTTCCAACTGAGCTACAGACTGAGTCAGAAGATCTTACGAATTTTTTAAATATGGCTTCTGTGCGTCTTATCTTTGTATTGAGTTAAAACGACTTCTTCAGTTTTATGAATGTTTTATCATTGTTTGCCAGGATTAACAAAGTCCATTACCTATTATAGTACTTCGAGAGTAATAAATCTGTCGCTGTTAGTTAAAAGGGCGTATGTAACATTTAAAAAAAAAAATTATGTATGCCGTGATCAATAAAAAAAGACCGATCTGTCACTATTTTTATTTTTTCCTACGTGGATAAGTTATGAAGTTACCGCAAGATAAAAGTGGATATTTTTTAATTTCATTTCTTTAAACATTATTTTTTCGGTTTTGTGTTTTTGTCACAAGCGCCCTTTCTACCAAAGCGTGAAACATACAGAGCGGGTGTTTTTCACATTTAACGGCGTCAGAAATAATGTTAAAATGTCACAAATCTTATTTTGTGTATTCCCAAAAAGTTGAGTTTTTTAGCCGATTTCCAAAAAAGGAGGAAGTTCTCAATTTGACTGTATTTTCTTTTTGTATGTACATACATACCAAAGCGTTATCACGGTACATTTACGGCATTTGTGAACCGATTTTGATTATTCTTTTTTGTTGGAAAGAGGGTACCTCAATAGTGGTTCCATTTAATATTCCACCTCTAACGGTGGCAAACTAGGGGATGAATGACATTTGAGGTCGGTTTTTTAAGTACTCTGTACTGAGATTATGTGTTGGGTTTCTTTCATACTAAAGGTGCGAAATACTCTATATTGCACGTAAGAACAAAATACTGATACCACCATCATTTTATCGCGCACATATACCTTCACGCAAATTTGTGCCTTGATTATTTGATTTACACGAGTTAATTAGTTCTTTTCTGTTTTTTAAGAAGTACATTCCTTGGCTTGTTTGATAGTTGATACAACAACTCACCAAGCAATGTATTTGGGAACGGGAAATGTTAAAAGTTTTTCCCCAATTTATTTCGCCATTATCTAAACACGACGACCCCAATAACACTGGAAGCAATATTATCCGACGAGTCGTCCAATTTAGAGGGATTTGTTTCGAAGTAATCACAGTTGTCTGATCACAGCATTAGACAAAGTTAATGGGCCGTAACTAGGAAGGTCAGATTTAGAGGTAAATGAAACAAAACTGGCCTAAAGTTACCGATTTGGAAGTAATTGCGGTTTTCAGAGAAAATGGATGTTGTGGATTGGGTACGGGGATTTTGCAAACAGAATGCGATCGTGCGTTCACACATTCCCCGTTCCGATTTCGTGTTTTGACTCTTCTGGAATACCGTATCAGATATTTTTTAACACCTTATGCAAAAAGACGGAAGTTACAAGTTTGAAGCCTATGACATGTCTGTGCATCTGCATCTGTCTGGCATCGAAGCTTTCAAACGGCTGGACGGAACTTAAACCGTTTTTTTTTATTTGAAGGCTAATTTAAATTAGTATAATTATATTCGATTAATTACTTATTATTATAACCCTGACCGAAGCCGTGGTAGCCTAATGGTTTGACCTACTGTCTCTCAACCAGAGTGTCGTGGGTTCGAATCCGGGCTCGCATCTGAGTTTCTCAGCACAGAGCAGAGTGTCGTGGGTTCGAATCCGGGCGAAATTTAATTTGAAACATATCATGAGCTTTTCGCTGAAGGAAAACATCGCGTTAAAACATGCACGTTGAAGAAGGGTCATAACCCTCGGAAAACGTGTTAAGTCCCCAATCCGCATTGGGCCAGCGTGGTAGACTATGGCCTAAGCCCTCGCCTGAAAAAGGAGAGTCGTGCCCAGCAGTGGGACGTACAAATGGGTTGATGATGATGATAACCCTGATTAATTAGGCTTATTATTGATACAGGGTTATGATCGAACAAATACAAAGAAAAAAATCCTTCGATCCGGCTGGACTTGTACTAGCACCTGTTTGCCAGACCTGAGCTAACCGCTCTCCCAACTGAGCTACGAAACGAGTCGGCAGACCTCTCGAATTTCTCGCTGTGCTTGTTGCCGATCTGTTTTTGATTTAAACGGCTCTTTTGACGTAGCGCCATCTTTGAGAAACCTATGAAGGTTTTTTCTCCACTCAGCCTGGTACCTTTACAGCTATCAGCGGCTGACAAGAGATGTCGCTTTATTAATTGCAATATTTATTTTATTGAATATCATGGTTTTATTACCCTTCATATTTTTAACGGACTTAAAACAAGGATGATGCCAATTCGACTGTACTTTTTGAATTACGCGATTACTTTGTGAACCGATTTTGATGGTTCTTTTGTTGTTCAGCAGTGTATCTTTTTAAATTTGAAGACAATATTCCACCTCTAAGGGTGGCAAACCAGGGGATGAATCCGGTTTAGCGCACTTACCGGTAACCGATTGCAATAAAACTTGGCAAATAGATATAATTCCACGAATTTTTATAAAAAAGGTTTTGTGAAAATACTCCACTACTTTGGTGTTATTAATGATATAAAAATCGTATAAACACAAAGAAAAATTTCTTCGTTCCGGCTGGATTCTAACCAGCGTCTGTCGTCTCAACGTGGCTACAAGTCGAATGTACATTAGACTAATATAGTATTAAAAAAAAAACATTTCAAACACAGGTAACCAAACTACAAGGGCATATTGCGCGTGTGGGCGCTCTGGCGTGGAACGGCGACATACTTAGCTCCGGCTCACGGGATAGGCATATTCGACAAAGAGATACTAGAACACCACGTGAGTATAATAAATGATAGTATAAAGTACGATATTGTTGGCGATTCTCTATGCAGAATTTGTCTGTATAGATGCCACCGCAAAATAGTATTGTTTAGTTTCGGATTGACGGGTTTTGTTCCGGATTGACGGGTGGCAAACACTACAGGCACACGGACTTGAGATCTTATGTCCCATGGATGAAGATCTATAATAAATTAGCTTTTAAGTTCGATATTAAGTGATAGCGAGCTTTTCTGTATAATAGTACATAGCACATGATGACTTGAATATATTTTCTCATGGTCGCTAAATATGAATATTTGTAGAAAAATATTTAATTATTACGTAACTCAAAATATATAAAATTCAAGATTATGCTGTTGCTGAACGTAAAATTTGAATCTGCACCTGAATACAACCGTCATTACATTATTGTGAGATAACAGTCTGTACAAGTCTGTAATCTGGACAAAACAGTCCGTACTCAAAAATATAATAAAAATAAATTGCTTTTTCCTTTTTTTTTTAATATACTTGGCAAGTAGGATATTGTTTAGATGTGTGTCATAAACTTTAATTTGTACATAAATTTTAATAATCTTCCACGGGAAGTGAGTGATACATTTTTCATCGATTCTGAAAAAATACACTTAGAGTGTGATATATGAAAATAACATCCAAACATAAATAACTATGCGCTTTAGTATCATTTAAATTAATATTGTAGACAAAAAAAATTGAATGTGAGTTACTCCACCATTGCACTGATAATTTCAAGTGGAAGAGTAACCACATTTCGATGACAACAATTATGTTGTGTGGTTTTTGAAAAGACCGAAATGTAAAGTAACTTTTGTACCGAAGGTTGAATTTTAATCACAATAATTTCTTTATAGCGGTCCAATCATCGCGAATCCTGCAAGGCCATAGACAAGAAGTGTGCGGCCTGAAATGGTCCCCGGACGGTCAGTCTTTGGCGTCGGGCGGCAACGATAATAAACTCTTTGTTTGGTCTATGGTAAGTTTTCAAATAATTTTTATTACTAATGCTTTACAAAATGTTTTAATTTACGTAGGCGTGAGATTCGTGGTTTTTATTCCGGTATGGGAAGGTATCAATTATGATGTTTTTTGCGGTTATGAGCAAAAAATATTATTGAATTATAATTTTATGTATTATTATTGCATGCTCGTTCTTTTCTAATGTTCACAATATGATATGACGGCACATGTGCTATCGAATAAGCTGGTGACTGTATCTTGTTCATACCATATTTTTTTGTATCTTCATATTCCAGCACTCAACATCACCAGTGCAGACGTACTCCTCGCATGTGGCAGCCGTAAAGGCCATCGCGTGGTCTCCTCACCAGCATGGTCTCCTGGCATCTGGCGGCGGAACAGCCGATCGCTGTATCCGCTTCTGGAACACACTCACCAGCCAACCAATGCAGTGCGTCGACACCGGTACGTTATATTTTTATACGTGGTGTCATTAAAAAGAAAAAAATAATTCTTTAAAACCAAAGACTAAGAAATTTATAAGGTCAGTTGACTCGGGCTGTGGCTCGTTACTAAAGAGCAGTATTTTCACGAATATATATATATATGAAACTTATGGTAATGAAACATAAAAAAAAAATTTAAATGCGCCTGACATTATTTTGATTTGGTGATAAAAAGTGACGAGACGAACAATTTCTCACAGAATGTGACTGTCTTTTAAAAAGAAAATTATTACGTCATGTTAATTTTGCTGTAATGTTTTCTACTGAAAGCTATTCTGTTTGCGCCTATAAATGTTTGCAATCAAATATCAAAGAACCTGTACAATGCCATTATAATAACCTTATTGCGTATTGCTATGCGAAATTGTCTAGGCCCATAATGAGATACAAGACATGAACTGTTTTATAGCTTGATTTACGGCATATTGAATTTATGTTGTAATTATTATAAAACTGAGGAACAATTGTTACATACACATTTGCCGTTCTGAAGGTACAGTCAGCTTCAAAATTGTCTAGACACGGCGAGTCATTTCGCCTTTTTAAATTCACACGAGTTTTAAAATTATAGTGAAACAAAAGCTTCAGCGTACTAGGATGACAAAAATCCGTGGTAGTGAGCCGTTTTACTCATTGCAGGTTGACTTAATCACAGATTATTAATACAAAGATCGAACACTCAGAAAAAACACAGAAAAAATTCCTTCGATCCGGTCGGATTCGAACCGACGTCTTCTTGCATACCGTGCCAGACGCTATACCAACTAAGCCACGGAACGAACCAACGGACCTCACGAATTTTTCTATGTGCCTGCGTCGTGTCTTTGTACTTGGTCTTTCAACGACTTTATAGTCGTAGCGCCATCTATGAGAAATCTATTGCAGATTTATCACCCAGTTAGTACCTTTACAGCTACCAGTCCTACAATAATTGCATATCAATTCAATAAAAATTTAATTAATCGAAGATGTTTGAAATAAATATTGTAAATGATACAAATGATGTGTACAAATGTTTATTTACGAAGAGCAATCCCTATCTTGCTCATTCTTCTCACAGGAATGTGCCTTACAAACACGCAGTAGAGTTTAAACAATATGATGATATCAACTGTAATTTGCTTACCCATGATATCAATATTATTTTATCCTGAAACTGAAATTTGAATGAATGAATGAAATATACTTTACTGCATATAAAAATTACAACAACAATGGGACCTGTAATGAATCAGAAACGTTAGTTTCATTACCAAAATCCAACATCCTATTAATAATTTAGATGGAATTTTCCAAATTATCATTTTTCAATATTCTGAAGACATCCATCTTAATTACCCTGTAAATACCAAAACCATGAGTTTGTTGAAATGTACCGAAAATTTGAGCTCTGTTGAAGAAGGGGAATTTGAATAACCCCAAATTGTACTTTTCGGGAAACACAGCTATAGAGTATTCCATTCCTTTGCTGTACCCATCAGAAAGGAGGAAGCAAAGCGCTTAGAGCGAATAGATGGTATATCAACAACATAAGGATGGATAAATTTCTTTATGAAGGTGTACACAATAGAAATAACTTCTAGATTTAGTACCTCCCGTTGGTTCTGGCTGAAAACCAACGCCTTAGGGAACTTCGGCATATGCTGAGTCAGTGCCACTTCACTGCTATGAGAAAAAATGTTTTTAATTTTTCCTGTTGTATTCAATCTGTATTTGTGTCATACTAGTGAATAAAGTATTTATCTATAAATCAATCAGTAACAGTGTTAGATTGTAAACTGTTATAACTTTTAAACAGGATCCCAAGTGTGCAACCTGGCGTGGTCAAAGCATTCCAGCGAATTAGTGTCCACACACGGGTACTCTCAGAATCAGATATTAGTGTGGAAGTATCCTTCTTTGACACAGGTAAGGACTTTTTGTACCTTTATATACCAGTTTCTAATAACAAAGAATAAAGAACCGTTTCAATGTGAGTCCTGTGCCTCAACCATGAGATTAAATTGACAGTTATCGCTAGTGACCGCGTAAAATCTTTATTTATATACAAAATGTTGTTTCTTCTTCGCCAGAGGCGCTGTATAATTTGCCATTCAAAATTGTGAAGTAATTTACCCGCTCGCTAGCGACAACTGTCACAGTAAACTCGTGGTAGAGGCACTACTCACTAGCATCAATGTCTCTAATTACGAGAATTAAAAAAAAACTTGTCTATGGTATTATTTATTTTGCGTTTATTATGGTGCACGAATATACCTGCACAACCGTTATTTTTAAATTAAAAAACAAAAACAAATCGGTGCTGGTGGACCAAACCAAAATAGTTCATTTTCAATCCCCGACGCAAAAAAGGAGAGTTATAAGTTTAAAGCCTTTGTCTCCATTTGTGTGTTTGTCTTCGTAGCTCCTAGCTCCCAAACTGGTGGACTAATCTCAAAGTGATTTTTATATGAAGGTTAATTTAAACACGATGGCTCGTAGCTTATATTTGATAAACATCAGTTCAGCTATTTCAGATCATCATCTCCCATGTAGTGTAAGGATCTCAGACATAAAATAAATATTTAAGAGTCGATACAACCTCAAACGGCTTTCGTTGATTCCGCATAACACTGACAATGTTGAATCAAATCACTTTGGAAAAAATATTACACACAATTTTATTGGAAATTTTACAAGAAAACCGCTGTATCTTTTATTTATTTATTTATTTGCATTTTACATGTAGTGTTATTATAGTATCTTAGAACTATGTTAGGAACTACATGCGATACCCTGTAAGGGCGTTGCAAAGTACTTATGATATACATTT